TGGTTGTCTATTTTTGCCTGGATCTTTTATTTTGGGGGGTATAATTTCTTTTAGTTCTTTATATATACTAGATATTAGTTCTCTCAGGTTTAACTGGAAATTTTTTTCTATTCTGTGGGTTGCATCTTCACTGTGATGGTTTTTTCACTGTGAAGCTTTCTGTGTAGAAGTTTTTAAATTTGATATAACCTCATTTGTTGATTCTTGATGTTATTTCTGTGCAATTCTAATTCTGTTCAGAAAGTCCTTTCCTTTATCTTCAATAGTTTTACCTATTTTAGCTTCCTTTTTTGGCACTTTTATATACAGGCAGGTGTGGCCAAATGTAGGCCTCTCTTCCTGAAAATGAAGCTACTAAGAACAACTAAGGAATCCATGGATCTGAAATGATCACAAAGTTAAGCAAATATTTATACAGTTATTTATTATTTCTTAAATTCTCATTCACTTTTTTCATTATTAAAATTAGAATATCCATCTTATCATTAATTCCTTCAATTTAAGTAAAGTCCTAGATAGTTTCAAGAATTGCCAAACAAGCCTGAAGTACAGATGCCAGATATTCACATTTGTGAGTTGGGTGGGCAGTTGGAGCTTTGCTAAAATGTGAGACACATGAGTTCTAGGCTGATTCAATTTCTGACTGTGACTTCGGGTGATTCTGCTTTTCATTTCCTATGCTAGTTGTTTTCAAACTCAGAATCACCTGGAAGACTTGTTACAACACGGTTGGTGATTTCCACTCCCAGAGTTTTTAAAGTAGATGGTTAGGTGGAGCCCAAGAATTTTAATTTTCTGAAAGGTTCTGAGACACTGCTGATGCTTCTGCTATGGGACAAACTTTGAGAAACCAAGCAGTTCATGCGACTCCCAATCTGCTTCTTTTTAATGAAGAGGGAAGCAGGAGGGCCCCAGGTAAGAATCACGGCAGAAGTCTCTAAGTGATACTGTAGGACTCATGTGTTTTTATTAAAATCAAGTAAAAAGAGGAAGGAGACATGAACACTCATTTGGTTCCAGCTCCCGACATTCTCATTTTATTTCAGGAAAAAGTAAATGGAATATAAATTTTTAGGCAACACAAACCAAAGGGGAAAAAAAAAGCAACTCAGGTAGTCTAGAGACAAGTGAATAATATTAATCCAAGATATTCTGTAGCTCTCTATGTCTGTCCTTGTCCAAGCCATACCCTGGAGATTAAATTTTCAAAATCATACATGAATGTAAATGGCGCAAAACTGACCAAAAGCTGTGCTGTTGGTAAAAATTGAAGGTCTTTGTTTCTGAACAAAATGACAGCTTTCATTACCTTTGTACCTAGAGAAGAGCAACAAGGTTGAAAGCATTTTTTAAAAATAAAGCATATGAATTATTGTGTTTTAAACACAGTATGTTGTAACATAAACATGAACTGACATGTTCTTTGTGATCCATATAAATATTCACATTCATGTTTTTAAATGAGGCATTATATAATTATGAAAACTATTTCCTGGTAGGTAGACTGGGATATGAAAAATATTTAATTACTTCATAAATGTATATAGACTATAACAAAAAGGCTCCCTTTTTTGTATTCTACAGAACAAATCCTAGTACAACTATTGTCATTAAGTTAAAATATGTCAAACAATTTTTCTATTCCATAACTAACATGCTATTTATTCCAAACAGCATTGTATACCATAAAATACTAGTATAAAAATTGTCAGCTGTATTAACAGGCTTCTTGTAAGGGGGTTTATCTTGTAAAAGCTACTTTCTTTTAAAATATGAGGCTGCTTGCTTTTCTCATTTACACAACATTTTCTGCATAGCACAATCCTTTGGGACATAATTTGCTACCTCCTCACAGAGTTACCAGACAGTTCAGAATATTTACAATGGAATGAATTACATTGTTGGAATAAATACGGTACTGCCTGCCTATTCAGAGAATATCAGGACCAGGAACATAACAAGGTATCTTCCTTCTTGAAAATAACATGAGCTGAGTGCTCTATGTCATTTTCAGTGGGAAAAGAACAATTTGTTAACCTAGAACCATCTCATGTCATTTACCCATAAAATCATTCATGTTTATACCATGTTGCATTTTAGCATAGATTTTCCACACCAAAGTGATTCAGGAAAAGACTTTTTCAATTTTAATGCTCAGTCCCTGCCCCTACTAACTGCCCCCATACACCGCTCATTACCTGGTCTTGGGTAGGGAAATTCATGTAAAACATTCAGATAAGGAATATTGTAGTCTAATTTTTTAAATATATAGTTTTGAAGAAACATGACTTTTAAGGAAAAATAATTTTATATGATTTTCTGTTATAAACCTTTTTCTTTTTCATCCCATCAAAGCTTCAAACACATGGAAGTTATTTGAAGTTAGTTTTAGAAAAAGATAAGGTATAGGTAATATCAATTAATAAAATCATGAACAATGAAAATATTGAATTTCTGTAATTTTTTTCAGATGGAATTAGTGCAAACTCTAAGGTCAATTAAGCAAAAATACATGAAGAATTTGAATGCTACTTGAGTATGGGGAAATTTATTATATTCAATTTTGCTTGTTAATGGTGTCGAAGCCATTTTCAAATCTCAAAGGTTTTTTCACATCAAAAGAAAAAAGAAAAAAGCTTATTTGCAAAGTGTGTACATTATCCAAAATATATGTGAAGGGGCCGGGGATGTAGCTCTATTTTGCACTTTCAAAATTCATAAAAAGCTTTACAATATTTGCTTCACCCATTGATCATCAAGGTTTTTATGGAAAGACAATGAAAATTTTATCACATCAACTGAGTATATGCATAAACAACAAATAATTTAAAAATGAGTATCTTCAATCAAGAACGTTCTGCAAAATACATATTCTGGTACACATCTGAATTTATCTAAATCAGGCTTTAAAATACATTTTAAAAAAGAAAAAGATTTAACACTGACAAGCCTACCAGAATAATGCTGAAGGCAAGCTATAAACAGCTTTACATGTTGAATGTAATTTGAGGTAACAGAAGAAGAAATTACCTGAACCTACATTTAAATTTATATTAACAAGACTTTTAAATTTTAACAAAGTGAACAATTCTTGTTCCTCTGGTAATTTTTCAGGTTTTATTTTTAAACTTGTGACATCTTGACTATAGGAACTGAAATCCAAGGCTAGAATATTTATAGGGGGGAAAACACTGGGGATACCTTAAGTCTAAAGACTATTCCTACAGTCTGCCTTCACAGTAAGAGCATCAGAAGTAATATATGGGATTTCATTTGCCTTATGTTTTATAAAATATAAGTACAAAATTTCAATGGCAAAATATTCAAGTGTTTTCACTTGGGAAACTTTAAGAAAATTAAATTTTGCCTTAAATTAGTTTCTAGATTTGGGAAATGGCATAATACATATTTTGAAGCATAGGATCTATTAAAACTATACAGCTATTTCCACTTTTAATATAATCATACTCTACTCTGGGGTAGCTCTTTAGATAGTAACAAGAGGCCTGTAAAAATGATGCCAAAAGAGTAGAAATGGAAAGACAAGAAAAACTAGGTAGTAGTGACAATCATGATTCTTAATGTTTCCTTGGTAACTAATGCCACAAAATTACATTTTGGCTCAGTGCCAGTGGGCTGCTGGAAGTGACTAGGAAATGAATGGACTCTCTTAATGGTCCCAGTTAGATTCTTAACTAACCAGTTTGTTTTGTTGCTTTGGTACTGGGGATCAAACTTGGGTCCTTGTGCTTGCAAGGCAGGCGGCGGCACCACTGAGCTAAATCCCCAGCTCACTAACCCGTGTTTTGATGGCTCACTCATGAAAGACTGCTTACCCAGACTGCTCAGTAAGGGGTACTGTGCTGGACTTACTGCCCACTCACTCCCCCATCCTTTTTATGTTTGGCTATGTTTTGTTTTGCTTTGTTTTTTTGACAAGGTCTTGCTATGTAATTCACACTGGCCTTGAACTCACAACGTAGCCGAAGATGACCTCACAGTAATCCTGCTGCCTCAGCCTCCCAAATGCTGGGATTATAGGCATGTGCCACCACACCCAGCCCTTACCGCCTATTTTTGTTGTGTTTTTTTAAGAACATTAGGTAAAACTATGTACCTCTCAAAATTCAGCAGAACAAAGAACTCATAAGATCACAAAGTAACAACAAAAATGATTTCATTTTAAGCATTGTACTAATTACTTCTGAGATACAGAGTATGGGCTTATAAAAAATAAAACTCCAGTAGTCTTATATATTTTAAATTTTTCCTGAACTGATCAAAAAGGTTTTCAAACGATATCAACTTTAAAATATTCCTCACCTTCCATCTCAAATTACCCCTTCTATTAGTCTTGCACATGAAACTAAAATGTCAGGATGGTTAAGAGCTTTAGGAGTATTTTAATAGAAGGGACACACTGAGTACATTTACTAAGAAAATGGGTTTTATTCTGATGCCTTTCAGAGATTTTGAGTGCTCTGTTTTATCACTGAATGAGAATTATATGCAAAACAAATACCCTGTAAGATACCAAAGCATTCACTTTATAATAGTATACTTTGGCATATTAAAACTAATGAAGCCTAAGACAAGCAAACAAGTTAAAAAAAAATCACAACTCAGAATTCCAGTATTTTCATATAGTATCATTTACTATGAAATGCCAAAAGACTAATGTTTAAGTGGATCTCTAACCTGTACGTTACACACACTCATGTGACCAAACCAATCACACTCTTGGGGGCTTATGGAACATTAAGTATAGAAAACTGCTCTCCAGGATTGCTTCTTTAAAGCTTAAACAATTAACTTACCATCATTTGGGGGGTGCGAGATGAATATGGATTAGGAGGTTCCTACTTAAAGAAAAAATTCTAATTAAAATATTTTAAACAGACTATGTTAGACATTTATTTGATACTGAAAACTCATAAAACTCATAAAACTCACCACAAACATTTCATATATTAAGTATTTACACAATCTAAGGTGGAAAATGTAGGAACATTTATTTGCTTGAGCACTAAAAAGGCTTTCCAAAATCTTGAGTAGACATATCATACTCTGCAATGAAATGCTTGAGTTCTTCAGCACACCGCTCGCCTATTTCATGTAAATTCTGCCTCAGTGCAAACTGTATGGACTTTTCTAGGGAAGGATCTTTTTCAATCAACATTTTCACCACCGTCCCGAAAGTTTTGCAGTCTTGTCGGTAAGCCTGTTCAATCTGTTCGGTTTTCCCTGCTATTGCTTTAGAGCGACTGCTGCGCTGACTGTCTTCCAATAATCCTGTGCTGTCTCCTGCATTGGTCTCCGGCTCCTCCAGCTGCTCAGTAAATAACAGTGCTGTAGGTCCCGCCTGTGTAGCCTTGGAGCTGGATGTAATCTGCTCTATCATTGAAAGAAACAAGTTTTCAGGAGTGAAAGGGGTTCCTGTGCTTTGGAGAGTTTGTTCGGCTTGATGAGTAAGCATCTTAATGTCTCCCCAGGTGAGTCCTGAAGCATGTGTCATAGAGGGCAGGGGGCCCATGCTTTTCTCCTTGTTGTTCACTACTGGCATACGATGAATTGCCAGCTTCTGAAGCTCCAGGAGAGGATTGCTTCCCGACTCATTACATAGGGTAGGGATGCACAGCCTTTGCAGGATCTCATACTGCACCTGTAACTCAGAAACCCCAGGCGAGCTGCTCTCGTCTGACCTCTCCAGCTTTTCAGCAGCCCACTTGCTCACAGCCTCAGCAAATTCCTTTTCAGTTAGCCTGCTGGGTTTATCTAACACCTTTGACGAACCACCTGCTGAAGAACTTGAGGGTGAAGTGTCTCTTGATGTTTTCAAAGACTGGACTTGTCTCTTTTTACCTCTTTCTGGCTTTCCTTCATTCTGCCGCTTGCAACAGGCACCGGCAGACGCAGGCTTTCTATGCTGAGACTGATGGAAAGAGTACGTTTTGCTTCGGTCTGGAGAGAAGCTTCGACTATTGACACTGGAGCCAGATCTGCTGTGTGCAGAATCCTTTCGGCCTACAGATGATTCTCGAAAAACAGGAGGATCCCTTTTATGAGGAGACTGGTCTCTCATATGATGGGAAGCGTAGAAATTTTTTCTTCTAAAGCCATCTCTCATCTCCCTGTAATCAGTCCGTCGACTTGCAGAATGATCATCTCTTGACCATCGATAGCCAGATTCATCTCCTCTGTGAGGTGGACCACTTCGATCGTGAGAAAAACTGCGGCCCTGGTCATATTCTCGGTAACCAACATGACTGTAGTATCTCCTGTAACCTCCTTCGGCAGGTCTGTCTAGCGGTGGAGGTTTCTGTTCTAGCAGTGGTGGTTTCTTTGGCACAATATTAACTACTCTATGGTAGCCATCACTGGGGTCACTGCGAGGAGGCACAAGTTCTGCTGGAAGCCTTTCATCGTCACATTGTCCCTCAGACAACATCACATTTGTTCTGTCAGCCATTCTGAGGAAAGCTAAAGCCGTTGCCGACCCAGGGAGCCCGGCCACTCCGCAAACGCAGCGCTCCAAGGGCCCTGTCGCTGCTCTCCTGCAAGGCACTTCCGGCGCCCGCAGTGACGTCACAAATTATCACATTCTGTGGCTTCAACCAACACAGTGCATTATTTTAGGGTTCTTCAGGTGTCAACTCCAAAATAGGTCTTATTTGCTAAAATCCAAGGTGTCAGAAGGTTGTCATTACTTTTTGGAGGTTCTGAGGGAGATCTTTTTTTTTTTTTTTTTTTTTTTTTTTTTTTTTTTTCCACCTTTAA